ATGAACATTCTTATAGATGTCATTTGTCAAACATATGTACATATTTCTCTTGCATATATATCCAGAAGTAAGACTGGTATGTTACACGGTTGGTGTAAGTTTACTTTAATTAGATAACTGCCAGACAGTTTTTCAAAGTGGTCAAATCAGGTCGCAATCAATCAGCAATGTATAAGAATTCAGCCTTGCCATTTTCTTTTTCATGCTTGCCTTTCCAAAGGCTGTGGGGGTATCTCATTGTGGTTTTAATCTGTACTTTCTGGATCACTAACAGCATTGAGCACTTCTTTATAAGTTACTGGACATTTCGATGTGCTCTTTTGTGAAGTGTCTGCTCAAGTCTCTTGCCCATTTTTTGTTGGTTACCTTTTAAAAAAATTAACTTGCAGTCATTTTTATACATTCTGAAGACAAATCCTTTCGTTAATATATATATTGCAAACATCTTTTCTTAGTGCATACCCTCTCTTTTCACATTTCTCTCTCTTAATGGTCTTCCAATAAACAAAAGTTCTTAATTTTAATAAAGTCCAACTTCTCTAACTTCTTTGATAGGTTACAGCTTATTGTGTCTGGTTTAAGAAAAATTTGTTTACCCTGAGGCCATGAAGATATCCTTTCATGTTTTCCTCTAGCAGCATTACTGTATTCCTTTAACATTTAGGTCCAATCCAACTGTGACTAGTGTGAGATTGGGGTCCAAGTTCATGTTTTCCATATGAATATCCAGTTATTCTACTCCCATTTATTGAAAAGACCATTCTTTTCCTGCCTAATTGTAGGTGGTGCCTTTGCTAAAAATCAAGTGGCCTTATGTGCCAGGTTCCAGTCAGGAGACAATAATTACACTAGTAATTTGAATAGGGAAAATTTAATAAAAAGAATAATTAGCTAGTAAAAAGGATTAACTATCAAGATGGGTAAAGGGTAAAGGCCACTGTACGTAATGTAGGAATAACAACTGTAAAAACCACTAAAGGAAAGTCCTCGGAAATTGAATAAACCCAGAAGAGGGTCTCCCTAACAAGTTTGAGATTCAGGCATTGTTACAGAAGGCATGGCTGGACCCATTGGAGAAACTCACTGAGATACTTGAGGCTGGAGCTGGCGCTGAGGTGCCTGTGAGACTCTCTGGGCAGTCATCTACCGGGGTGCTGGCTACTCATTGAGAAACTGCCCACTGGCTGCCATGCCATTAAACGAGAAAAGCAGCCCTGGAATCTGGAAGAGAAGCCCCTTCTTCTAGTAGTGCCCCTTCAGCACCCTCTGCTGACAACCACCGCTATGCCAACTGGTCAAGGAGAAATTTTCTTAGGGTCCAGCACCTATTTCAACAAATGGGGCCAAGACAGGTACGATCAACAGTTAAGAGGTAATAACAGATAACTGACACAACAGACTGAGTGGGTCTGTTTCTCGACTCTTGTTTCAATTTCTCCATCTTGGTTCAAGGCTCTGTGCTGATTACTATAGCTTGATAGTATATCCTTATAATGGCTGGTGGAGATTCTCCACTGGCATGCTACATAAAGATTGCCTGTGCTATTCTAAGTCCTCTGCATATCTTTATATATTTTAGAATAAACACACCAATTTACACCTTAAAAAAAAAAAAAACCTGCTGAAATTTTTATTGTGGTGTTTTAATTTCACAGATCACTTTGGGAGATAATTGATATTTTTATAATATTGAGTTTTTCAAATCAAAGAATATGATTTATTCCTCCACTTAAGCATTCTTTAATTTTGCTCAATGATACTCTGTTGTTTTTACTATAGAGGCAAAGGTTTTGTTCAATTTATTTCTAGAAATTCTTTTGATTCTATTGTTGCTGCTGCATAGAAATATAATTGAGTGGTGTTTATTCACCTTCTATCCAGGAAGCTTGCTAAATTTATTTAGAAATTTCATGTAATGGCATGTAAAGCCTTCAACTACGATTATGTATTTGTCTAGTCCTCTTTTCAGTTGTTTTTGCATTTTGTATTTTAAGGAGAAAATATTAGATGCATGCCTATTCAGGGTGTTACGTCTTCCCATTGAACTAGCCCTTTTATAATTATGCAATGACCTTCTTTTTCTCTGGTAATATGTTTTGCCTTAATGCCAACTTTGACTACAGTAATAAAGTTACTCCAGTTTGGTTAATGTTCAAGTGGTATAGATTTTCCTCATCTGCTTTCAACCTAAATACATCCTTACTTTTAAAATGTGCTTCTTTTAGATAGTACATAGTTTTCACTTAGTATGACAACCTTTAGAATTTTAATTGGAGTGTTGAATCTATTTGCATTCAATTTGTATTTCTAAAATGTGCATTTTAATTCTACCATCTTGCTATTTGGTTGTTGTTTTTGTTGTTGTTGTTGTTTTTGGGGGGGTCCTATGGTTCTTTGGTTACTTTATTTCCCCTTTCCCATCTTTGTTTGGAATAATGAGATATTTTTTATTCCATTGTTTTAATCTCAGCTTCTTTTTTATTTATTCTAGTGTTATCATTTTAGTAGTTATCTAAGAGATTTCAATTACATTGTAATTTATTACAGACTGCTTTAAAAATCTCAGAAGACTTTAACTTCTTTTATCCCCTCCTGCACTGATGGCGTCATACATTTTTACTTTATGTGCTTTAGATTCAATATGACATTATTTCTGTTTTAAGTAGTCAATATCTTAAAATATTTGTTCATATAGTTACCCTTTCTTGTGTTCTTCATTCCTTCTATGCTTCCATTTGGGAGTATTTTCTTTCAACCTAAAGAACTTGCTAAAAGCATTTTTTTTTTTTTTTTCTGAGACAGAGTTTTGCTCTTGTTACCCAGGCTGGAGTGCAATGGCGTGATCTCGGCTCACTGCAACCTCCGCCTCCTGGGTTCAAGCAATTCTCCTGCCTCAGCCTCCCGAGTAGCTGGGACTACAGGCACGCACTACCATGACCAGCTAATTTTTGTATTTTTAGTAGAGACAGGGTTTCACCATGTTGACCAGGATGGGCTCGATCTCTTGATCTCATGGTCCACCCACCTCGGCCTCACAAAGTGCTGGGATTATAGGCATGAGCCACTGGGCCTGGCCGCTAAAAGTATTCTTATAGTGCAAGTCTGTTGATGACAGATTGTCTCAATCTTTGTATGAGAACATATTTATGCTGCCCTTCATTTTTGAAAAATATTTTCACTGAGTATAAAATTCTAGATTGACAGTTGTTTTCTGTCAGCATTGAAATTCTTCATCTTTTTATCCATTTGTTCCTCTTTTCCTGTTTTTAAACATCTTATTCATATTGGTTCTCATCAAATTTATTGGGGAATAATTTACGTTAAAAATTATATTCAATCAAAGTGTACAATTTGATGACTTTTAACAGTTGTATATGATCCTAAGACAGAACATTTCCATCACCCCCAAAAGATTATTTGTGTTCCTTTATAGACTATTCCTTCCACTGCCTCTGGGTCCAAGAAAAACACAGACATGCTTTTTGTCATTTTAGATTAGTTTGCATTTTGTATTAATAGAATCATATACTATAAACTCTTGATGTCTCTCTTCTTTCATTTAACACAATAATTTTGAGATTCACCCATGTTACTGTGGGTATCAGTACAATGTTGAATAGAAGTGGCAAGAGTGGACATCCTTGCCATGTTGGTAGTCTTAGGAGTGTTTACTATTTCACCTTTGAATATGAAGTTAACTGTAGGTTTTTTATAGATACCCTTTATCAGGTTGACAAAATTCTTGTATGTTTCTAATTTACTGAGAATTTTTATCATTAGTGAGTGTTGAATTTTGTCAAATGTTTTTCTGCATCTATTGAAATAATTGTCTGGTTTTTCTCCTTTATTCTGTTAATGTCCTAAATTACATTGAATGGTGATGATTACACCGAATGATGATTAAACCAACCTCACATGTTTATGATAAGCCCCATTTGGTTGTGATTTTTTTTTTTTTTTTTTTTTGAGACGGAGTTTCACTCATGTTACCCAGGCTGGAGTGCAATGGTGCGATCTCGGCTCACCGCAACCTCCGCCTCCTGGGTTCAGGCAATTCTCCTGCCTCAGCCTCCTGAGTAGTTGGGATTACAGGCACGCACCACCATGCCCAGCTAATTTTTTGTATTTTTAGTAGAGACGGGGTTTCACCGTGTTGACCAGGATGGTCTCGATCTTTTGACCTCGTGATCCACCCGCCTCGGCCTCCCAAAGTGCTGGGATTACAGGCTTGAGCCACCGCGCCCGGCCTGGTTGTGATGTTTTATCCATTTAAAATATTTCTGGATTTGATTTAATAACGTTTTAAGGATTTTATTATCTAGTTACATGAGGAATTTTAGTCAGTAGGTTTTTCTTATAATAGCTTCATCTGGTTTTGGTATCCGGATATTATTGGCCTCATAAGATAGGTTCAACAGAGTTTTCCTCTCTTCTGCTTTCTGTAAGAGTTTGGGTAGAATCGGTATTAATTCTTTTAAAAATATCTGGGAGAATTCACCAGTGTAGCCTTCTGAGCTTAGAGTTTTTAACTAGAAATTGAATTTATATAGTAGATATGGAGCTATTCAGCTTATTTATTTCTTTTTGAATGAGTTTTAATTGCTTCGTTGTTTTGAATGGGCTTTAGTCTTTCAAGGAATTCGAACAATTCTTCCCAGTTTTTTAGGATATTCTTATTATCCTTTTAGTATCTGTAGAATCTGTAGAAATAATTCCTCTTTCATTATATATATATATATTTTTAAATTGTACTTTAGGTTCTGGGGTACATGTGCAGAACATGCAGGATTGTTGCATAGGTACACACATGGCAATGTGGTTTGCTGCCTCCATCCCCACCCCCCATCACCTATACCTGGCATTTCTCCCCATGTTAACCCTCCCCAGCCTCCCTACCTCCTGCTGTCCCTCTCCTAGTCCCCCGCAACAGACCACAGTGTGTGATGCTCCCTTCCCTGTGTCCATGTGTTCTCATTGTTCAACACTCACCTATGAGTGAGAACATGTGGTGTTTGATTTTCTGTTCTTGTGTCAGTTTGCTGAGAATGATGGTTTCCAGATTCATCCATGTCCCTACAAAGGACATGAACTCATCATTTTTTATGGCTGCATAGTATTCCATGGTGTATATGTGTCACACTTCCCTTGTCCAGTCCATCATCGATGGGCATTTGGGTTGGTTCCAAGTCTTTGCTATTGTAAACAGTGCCACAATAAACATACGTGTGCATGTGTCTTTATAATAGAACAATTTATAATCCTTTGGATATATACCCAGTAATGGGATTGCTGGGTCAAATGGAATTTCTATTTCTAGATCCTTGAGGAATCGCCACACTGTCTTCCACAACGGTTGCAGCTAACTGACACTCCCACCAACAGTGTAAAAGTGTTTCTATTTCTCCACATCCTCTCCAGCATCTGTTGTCTCCAGATTTTTTAATGATCGCCATTCTAACTGGCATGAGATGGTATCTCAATTTGATTTTAATTTGCATTCTCTAACGACCAGTGATGATGAGCATTTTTTCATATGTTTGTTGGCCACCTATATGTCTTCTTTTGAAAAGTGTCTGTCCATGTCCTTCACCCACTTTTGAATGGATTTGTTTGTTCTTTTCTTGTAATTCTGTTTTAGTTCTTTGTAGATTCTGGATATCAGCTCTTTGTCAGATAGATAGATTGCAAAAATTTTTTCCCATTCTATTGGTTGCCATTTCATTCTGATGATTGTTTCTTTTGCTGTACAAAAGCTCTGGAGTTTAATTAGATCCCATTTGTCTATTTTGGCTTTTGTTGCTAATACTTTTGGTGTTTTAGTCATGAAGTCCTTGCCTATGCCTATATCCTGAATGGTTTTGCCTAGGTTTTCTTCTAGGGTTTTTCAGGTGTTAGGTCTTATGTTTAAGTCTTTAATCCATCTGGAGTTAATTTTAGTGTAAGGTGTCAGGTAGAGGTCCAGTCCAGTTTCTGTTTTCTGCACATAGCTAGCCAGTTATCCCAACACCATTTATTAAACAGGGAATCCTTTCCCCATTGCTGGTTTTTGACAGGTTTGTCAAAGATCTGATGGTTGTAGATGTGCGGTGCTGCCTCTGAGGTTTCTGTTCTGTTCCATTGGTCTATATCTCTGTTTTCGTAGAGTACCATGCTGTTTTGATTACTGTAGCCTTGTAGCATAGTTTGAAGTCAGGTAGCTTGATGTCTCCAGTCTTGTTTTTTTGCTTAGGATTGTCTTGGCTATGCAGGCTTTGTTTTGGTTCCATATGAATTTTAAGGTGGTTTTTTTTCCAGTTCTGTGAAGAGGGTCATAGGTAGATTGATGAGGATAGCGTTGAATCTATAAATTGCTTTGGGTGGTATGGCCATTTTCATGATATTGATTCTTCCTAACCATGAGCATGGAATGTTTTTCCATCTGTTTGTGTCCTCTCTCATTTCCTTGAGCAATGGATTGTAGCTCTCCTTGAAGAGGTCCTTCACATTCTTTGTTAGTTGTACTCCTAGGTATTTTATTCTCTTTGTAGCAATTGTGAATGGGAGTTGACTCTTGATTTGGCTCTCTTTTAGTCTGTTATTGGTGTATAGAAATGCTTGTGATTTCTGCACATTGATTTTGTATCCTGAGACTTTGCCAAAGTTGCTTATCAGTTTCAGGAGATTTTGGGCTGAGATGATGTGGTCTTCTAGTCACGTCGTCTGCAAGTAGAGACAATTTGACTTCCTCCTTTCCTAAATGAATATCCTTTATTTCTTTTTCTTGCCTGATGGCTCTGGCTAGAACTTCCTATATTACATAGGAGTGGTGAGAGAGGGCATCCTTGTCTAGTGCCAGATTTCAAAGGGAATGCTTCCAGTTTTTGCCCATTCATTATGATATTGGCTGTGGGTTTGTTGTAAACAGCTTTTATTATTTTGACATACGTTCCACTGATACCTAGTTTATTGAGAGTTTTTAGCATAAAGCGCTGTTGAATTTTGTTGAAGGCCTTCTCTGCATCTATTGAGATAATCATGTGTTTTTTGTTTGGTTCTGTTTATGTGGTGGATTATGTTTATAAACTTGTGTATGTTGAAGCAGACTTGCATCCCCCAGATGAAGCCTACTTGATCGTAATGGATAAGTTTTTTGATGTGCTGTTACAATAGGTTTGCCAGTATTTCATTGAAGATTTTTGCATCTATGTTCATCATGGATATTGGCCTGAAGTTTTGTTTGTTTGTTGAATCTCTGCCGGGTTTTGGTATCAGGATGACGGTGGTCTCATAAAATGATTTGGGAAGAATTCCCTCTTTTTGTATTGTTTGAAATAGTTTCAGGAGTGGTACCAACTCCTTTTTGTACATCTGGTAGAATTTGGTGGTGAACCCATCTGGAACTGGGCTTTTTTTGGTTGGTAAGCTATTAATTGCTGCCTCAACTTCAGCCATTTTTATTTGTCTATTCAGAGTTTTGACTTCTTCCTGATTTAGGCTTGGGAGGGTGCAGGTGTCCAGAAATTTATCCATTTCTTCCAGGTTTACTGGTTTATGTGCATAGAGTTGTTTGTAGTAATCTCTGATGGTAGTTTGCATTTCTGTGGAATTGGTGGTGATGTCCCCTTTATCATTTTTTATTGCATCTATTTGATTCTTCTCTTTTTTTTATTAATCTGGCTAGTGGTTTGTCTATTTTGTTGATCTTTTCAAAAAAACAGCTCCTGGATTTACTGATTTATTGAAGGGTTTTTTGTGTCTCTATCTCCTTCAGTTCTGCTCTGATCTTAGTTATTTCTTGTCTTCTGCTAGATTTTGAGGTTTTTTGATCTTGCTCCTCTAGCTCTTTCAATTTTGATGATAGGGGGTTGATTTTAGATCTTTCCTTGCTCCTCATGTGGGCATTTATTGCTATAAATTTCCCTCTAGACACTGCTTTAAATGTGTCCCAGAGATTCTGGTATGTTGTGTCTTCGTTCTTGTTGGTTTCAAAGAACATCTTTATTTCTGCCTTCATTCCATTGTTTATCTAGTCAACATTCAAGAGCCAGTTGTTCATTTTCCATTAAGTTGTGCGGTTTTGAGTTAGTTTCTTAATCCTGAGTTCTAATTTGATTGCACTGTGGTCTGAGAGACTGTTTGTTATGATTTCTGTTGTCTTGCATTTGCTGAGGAGTGATTTACTCCCAATTATGTGGTCAATTTTAGAGTAAATGTGATGTGTTGTTAAGAAGAATGTATATTCTGTGGATTTGGGGTGGAGAGTTCTGTAGATGTCTATTAGGTTTGCTTGGTCCAGACCTGAGTTCAAGTCCTGGATATCTTTGTTAATTTTCTGTCTTGTTGATCTGTCTAATATTGACTGTGGAGTTTTAAAGTCTCCCACTATTACTGTGTGGGAGTCTAAGTCTCTTTGTAGGTCATTAAGAACTTCCTTTATGTATCTAGGTGCTCCGGTATTGGGTGGGTATATATTTAGAATCATTAGCTCTTCTTGTTGCATTGATTCTTTTACCATTATGTAATGCCCTTCTTAGTCTCTTTGATCTTTGTTGGTTTAAAGCCTATTTGATCAGAAACTAGGATTGCAACTCCTGCTTTCTTTTTGCTCTCCATTTTCTTGGTAAATCTTCCTCTATCCTTTTATTTTGAGCCTATGTGTGTCCTTGCATGTGAGATGGATTTCCTGAATACAGTACACCAATGGGTTTTGACTTTTTATCCAATTTACCAGTCTGTGTCTTTTGATTGGGGCATTTAGCCCATTTACATTTAAGGTTAATATTATTATGTGTGAATTTGAACCTGCCATTTTGATGCCAGCTGGTTGTTTTGCTCATTAGTTGACACAGTTTCTTCACTGTGTTGATGGTCTTTACCATTTGGTACATTTTTGGAGTAGCTGGTACTGGTTGTTCCTTTCTATGTTTAGTGCTTCTTTCAGGAGCTCTTGTATGGCAGGCCTGGTGGTGACAAAATCTCTCCATAATTCCTTATTCATAAAGCACTTTATTTCTCCTTTGCTTATGAAGCCTAGTTTGGCTGGATATGAAATTCTAGGTTGAAAGTTCTTTTCTTTAAGGATGTTGAATATTGGCCCCATTCTCTTCTGGCTTGTAGGGTTTCTGCCTAGAGATCTGCTGTGAGTCTGATGGGCTTCCCTTTGTGGGTAACCTAACATTTCTCTCTGGCTTCCCTTAGCATTTTTCCTTCATTTCTACCCTGGTGAATCTGACGATTATGTGTCTTGGGGTTGCTCTTCTTGAGGAATACTTTTGTGGTGTTCTCCGTATTTCCTGGACTTGAATGTTGGCCTGCTTTGCTAGGTTGGGGAAGTTTTCTGGGATAATAACCTGAAGAGTGTTTTCCAGCTTGGATTCATTCTCTCCATCACATTCAGTAATCTCCTATCAAACGTAGATTCAGTCTTTTCAAATAGCCCCACATTTCTTGGAGGCTTTGTTGATTTCTTTTGACTCCTTTTTCTCTAATCTTGCCTTCTTGTTTTATTTCATTGAGTTGGTGGTCTTCAATCTCTGATATCCTTTCTTCTGTTTGGTCGATTCAGCTATTGAAACTCATGTATGCTTTGTGAAGTTCTTGTGTTGTGCTTTTCAGCTCCCTCAATTCATTTATATTCCTCTCTAAGCTGTTTATTCTCGTTAGAATTTCATCTAACCTTTTTTCAAGGTTCTTAGTTTCTTTGCATTGGGTTAGAACATGTTTTTTTAGCTCAGAGAAGTTTGTTATTGCCCACCTTCTGAAGCCTGTTTCTGTCAATTCATCCGGCTCATTCTCCACCCAGCTTTGTTCCCTTGCTGGTGAGGAGTTGTGATCCCTTGGAGGAGGAGAGGCATTCTGGTTTTTGGTGTTTTCATCTTTTTGCACTGGTTTCTTCCCATCTTTGTGGATTTATCTACCTGTGGTCTTTGTAGTTGGTGACTTTTGGATGGGGTCTCTGAGTGGACATCCTTTTTGTTGATATTGAAATTATTTCTTTCTGTTTTTTAGTTTTCCTTCTAACAGTCA